CTGCCATCGGATCAGCGCGGTGCGCCTGCTGCAGCGCGCGGGCCGCGGCGGCCATTGGAGGGTGAACCAACGGCAAAGGAAGACCTTTCTCTCTGTCTCTCTCTCTCACTGTCCACTCTGCCTGTCAAAAAAAAAATCCACTAGAAGAATTCAGTAGTAAATTTGAGCAGGCAGAAGACAAAAAGATAGGACAAATGAAAGTATCAATTCTGAGGAGCAGAAAGGAAAGAGAATGAAGCAAAGTGAACAGAGTATAAGATGTCAAGGAGACATCAACAAACCAACATACACATTCTGAGAGTTCCAGAAAAAATAAAGAAAAGGTGGAAATGATTTTTTTTTTTACAGGCAGAGTGAGACAGTGAGAGAGAGAGACAGAGAGAAAGGTCTTCCTTTTTTCCGTTGGTTCACCCCCCAAAATGGCCGCTACTATGGCACCGATCTGAAGCCAGGAGCCAGGTACTTCCTCCTGGTCTCCCATGCAGGTGCAGGGCCCAAGCACTTGGGCCATCCTCCACTGCCTTCCCAGGCCACAGCAGAGAGCTGGCCTGGAAGAGGGGCAACTGGAACTAGAACCCGGTGCCCCAGCCGGGATTAGAACCCGGAGTGCCAGCACTGCAGGCAGAGGATTAGCCTAGTGCGCTGTGACGCAGGCCAGAAATAATTTTTAAATAGAATAATTTAAAGAGTTTCCCATATTTGGTACAAGCATGAATCTACACATCCAAGAAGTCTAATGAATTCTAAGCAGAATAAACTCAAAAAGATTGACACCAACATACATTATAATTAAACTGTTGAAAGCCAAAGAGTAGACACTTTAAAAGCAGCTAGAAAAAGACAACTTATTACATTCCTGGGATCTCCAATAATATTATCAGCTGATTTCTCAGCAGAAATTTTGAGGGGTGAAGACAGTACGATGATGCAAAGTGCTGAAAAACCAACCCTCTAATTTATAGCCAGCACAACTGCCCTTCACAAATGAATGGGAAATGATGACATTTGCAGATCAACAAAAGCTGAAGGAGTCCATTACCCCTAGACTTACCCTACAAGAAATGATAAAGGGAGTCCTTCCAGTGGAAATTTTTTAAAATGCTAGATAGTGATTAAAGTCTTATGAAGTAATCAAGGGCTCCAATAAAATATAAATCTAAAATATATTTAACAGTGAAAATATAACATATAAAAGCAATGTCCTGTAGCTTTGTTTTATAACTCACTTTTTATCTCCTACATGCTTTAAAATACAAATGCATAAGAGAATTGTTAGCCTGTTTTATTGGGCATTCAAAAATATGTAATCTGTGTCAACAGTAATACAAAGGGGACAGGATGGAGCTGGATGGGGTTTTTATATTTTATTGAAGTTAAGTTGGTATCATTTTTTACTAGGTTGTAATAAATTTAGGATATTAAATGTAATCCCTGTGGTAACATAAGGAAAATATCTGAAAAGTATACAAAAAATGAAATGAGAATTCCAGTGACTCACCACAAAAATATCACACTAAACACAAAGAGTAGTAATAGAAGAAATTAGGTCCCAAAACAGCTATAAAAATGCTATAAGATATTCATAAAGCAAATACTAAAATGACAGAAGTCTTTATAAGTAATCACTTTATTTCTAAGTGGGTTAAACTTCCCAGTCAAAAAACGTAAATAAGAAGAATGTATAAAGCACACCTTGATCCAACTATATGCAATCTACAAGAGACTCACTTAAGATCCAAAGACGTAATAGCTTGACAACAAAAGGATAGAAAAAAAAATTCTATAGAAACAGTAACCAAGAAAGGGTGAGATATTGGCCTCAGGCATTTTATTCCTCTTAGGAAAAATGTCCTTAAAGTATGGCAATTTCTGCCTCTTACAAACTCGGTGACTGTGGGAAAATTAATCAACCACCTTTGTGCCTTGTTTTTTCTCATCTATAGAATGGGGACCATGATGGCACCTAAATATTGAAGAATGAAATAAGACACTCATTGGCCAGGAGCGAGGTTTTAATATTATGTGTCAGTTCTTAGTACAAGTACGTGCTAATTCCTCATAAAAAAAGAAAAAGAAAAAGAAAAAAGAAAAGCTTACTGGAGCAGGCAGGCATTTGGCCTAGTAGTCAAGATGTGCTTGAGAGACCAGCATCCCCTATCAGAGTGCCTGAGTTTGAGTCCCAGCTCTGCTTCTGATGCAGCTTCCTGCTAATGCACACCCTGCCAGGCAGCAGGTGATGGCTCAAGTAGCTGAGTCCTTGCTGCCCAGGCAGTAGACATGGCTTGGGTTCACAGCTCCCATCTCAAGCCTGGATCAGCCCTGATTACTTCACACATCTGAGGAGTGAGCCGGCAGATGTATGTTCACTCTCTCTCTCTTTTTCTCTCTCTCTTGTGCTTCCCTCTCTCCTTTAGTCCATGTCTCCCCATCTCTGCCTCTCAAACAAAAATAAATATTAAAGGAACTTTCAAAAACTGTTTTTCTGTCCAAGGTTTTATATAGAAGTGCAAGAACTTTGAAACAAGATGCCCAGAATTGATGGGGTCAGATGTAAAGGAGCAAGAAACACACAAACAGGTGTAAAGTAGCATGGTAGCAAAGTGGTTGAAAGTTTAGGGTTTTGAAACATCAATGAGACATTGAGTCTCAGCTTTTCTAATTCCAGTAGCCTGACATGAAGCAAGTTCCTTAACCTCTCAGAACCCCTACTTTTCTCATCCACAATTATGTACTAGAAAAGTAAGGAAAAAATCTCTTTTATGGTTATGGAACTAGATGGCTATTAATGTGCTTAGCATAATGTTATCATCTATGGTAGCTGAAAAATATTTCAAGTTCCCAGAATATATTTACACTGCCATTTACCAGAAAGGATACAAACATATGTATGATGGTAGGACCCAGACTCTAATGCTTCCAAGTTAGTTGGGTAGGCCAGACAGATAATATACAATGTTTCAAATCTCAAATCCCTCTTGTTAAAAAGAAATTTCTCTTTTTCATGTTTCTTCCTCCCCATCATTCATTTTCTCTCTCTCTTGCATATACGAATTCATGAAAACTTTCCACCCTGAATTGGATGATTTACAAGGAAATGTTTCTTGGTGAACAGAGAAAAAAAAAGGCAAATACACATAATATGTTATGACTTGCCTCTCCCTTGCCTAATTTATTTCTTAACAGGAAACATATTTTTAAAGATTTATTTATTATTTATTTGAAATACAGACAGACTTGGGCGGGGAAAGAAAGAGAGAGAGAGAGAGAATCTCCCATCTGCTGGTTCACTTTCTGAATTGCTGCAGCGGCCGGAGCTGGGCCAGACTGAAGCCAGGAGCCTAGAACTCCATTCAGGTCTCCCATTTGGGTATCAGGGTCCCAAGTACTTGGGCCATTCTCCACTGATTTGCAAGGTACTTTAGCAGGAAGCTGGATAACAAATGAAGCAGCTGAGATTCAAGCAGTGCTCTGATATGGGGCACCAGCATAGTAACCAGTGTCTTACCCCACTGTGCCACAACGTCAGCCCCGGCAGAAAAATAGATTCACAATGAAAATACAATTATATAGCTAGAAAAGAGAAGAATGGTTTTTATTGTGTTTTGAGTAACCAGAAAGTAAAGACAAAATGAAGTCGAGTAGGAAGTGACTCGGGAGAACTCATCTTGGGAGATGCTGATATAAGAGGGTAGAGATCAATTAAGAGAGGTGGGGTGTTTCAAAAAATTCAGTGGGAAAACACTTGGTAATATGGTACTTCCTGTCCTTTCAAGTCTATAAAAATTTTATGAGAAAATAAATGCAATAATTTTTCATCAAAAACAGAAAAACTAATTACATTTCAAAAAGAAAATGTTACCACATCTTCTTTTTTCTTTTTTTTTTATCAAAACTGCTTGCTCCTTTTGCCAAAAGACCTGAATTGGGGACTTACATGGCTATTTTACTCCAAGCTTTCTGTCCTCATTTCAGGAACCTAACCCGGACGTGGACCTTTAGAGATAAAACCTGGTGCTCGAGTCCGGCCACAACTGAGGTTTTTACTACCAGGTTTGAGAGGCTGCAAGCCTAGCTTACTGGGTCTGAGTACCCTAAGGTGTTGCTGAGCCTTTCTCCAGCAAGAGACAAATTTCCACAGGAGGAAGGACTAGGTGGCTCAGCATTTTCTTCTCTCAGAAAGCCTTAGGGGAAAGTACCGCAAAGGTAATCAACACATTCAAACCTGAAGCAGGGAACTGTCAGTGACTTAGCTCTTGATGAAACACAGGAGAAGACGAGCAGGAGAAGACGAGAAGTCAGGCTCGTGTCTGGTTTCTGGCCAGAAGAGTGGACTCTTAGGTCAAAGCACGTTTCAGTGTAATTACCCTGGCGCTACGCTACAGTTACTGAGGCAACAATACAGGCATTAAGTGGCATTTCTGCTGGTGTTTACAACTTACAATGAGTTAATGTTCCTTGTGTTTGTATTTCTGCATATCATTTTGAATTGGGACTCAGAATATGCGAAGAAGGAATGGAGTAAATTCAGAGGTGTCAAAAGAAAGCAAGTAACCCACCGTTTTAAAAGTTGTTATACAAAAGGAAGTAGATGTTCCTGACCCATAAAACAAAATGCAGCTCTATTTTGACCTTATGGCCCCTATGTCATCACCATAGAACACCCAACAGTTGATGCCTACAAAGTTGATTATCCTAAGGTCAAAGAAAGCCACCCACTCTAACGGCTATTTTTATAGCAACATATGGCAATGAATTCCATTAAACAGTCTTCTGCTTATATTTTCCAAATCTAAAACTTCAGGGTAAGTTGCCGTTGCTTAACTGTCATTGTCCAAAATTCTAGTGGGAATGTTATCATTATATAACACTAGGTACAATTTTCTTTGCAATCACATCATCATTTCAGTTTTATTTACATTTTTAGCCATTTGCACAGATGTTGATGGAGCTATATATTTTTGCTTCAATGTCCATTGCAATATTCTTATTGCGTTCTGCAGGTCCTCCAGTAAACGTTACTTGCAATATTTTTATCAACAGTTTTGGATCAGTCACAGAAACCACCATGGTAAGTGCTACAATGCCACTGGCAAGAGAAAAACGTGACTCAATTATGCCATGAACACAACCTGTCAAACTTTCTATTGTTCAACTTGCAGGGCCTCCTGTAAATGTTACCTGCAACATATTTATCAACAGCTTTGGGTCAATAGCAGAAACTACAATGGTGAGTGGGACTGAGCATTGAAGCCATCATGTGAAGGAATGGGATGTGGGATCACAGAGCGTATCTGCGAGACATTCGCTGAGTGCCAATTTCCAACACTGTTCACCTCTAAAAGCAATGATTGATATGCTTTAATTTTGGACAATCACTAGCAAGTGATAAGTTCTTAAAATTCAATAGTCTTTTATTGATGATGCCAGAGAAATTTTGGAAACATTTGATGTTTGGCTAGTTTTTGGTAGAATTATCAGTAATAAGCAGGATGTATAGTCAAGGATATTTAATAATATGCATCTCTAATGTTTCATAAGTATAAATGTTAAACTTGAAGACATATTTATAATGGCTGATCTTATACATATAATGGAAGTTGTAACATAGTTAAACCTCCCTATTAAATACTTGTAAGATATATACCAAGATATATACCAAGATATATACCAAGTAGCTGAACTTATAATAGCACCCACACGTATATACACACACACATATCTATGTGTGCACAATCTTGTTGGTAATAGACAGTAGTCCCAAGTCCATAGCAATTATATCATATGCATTTTTTAAAAGAAATAGATAAAACTAAAAGCCCATCATAGATTACGTTTAAACATCTTTCATATATGTGAAAAAGATGTCAGATACTATAAAACCACCCAATATTCTTTATAAATGTCATGGTCATGTTGACTGCAAAACAACTTACTGAGATCATTAGTTTTACCCTACAGAGTAGTAGTCTATAGTATGGAGATTGCTTTTTGAGTAAAATATTTTCTTGGCCCCAATACAATTTAAGTCCTGAATCAATTGGTTGGTTCCAATTTGCATGTCTCTGTAAAGTACACATCCATATTATTGTATAACTAAGTATTACAGTGGCTGATGTGCTCAAAACTCTCAAGTAGTGAATTGAGCATAATGCCATTGAGGCCATTGAGAAGTAAAAGACAGAGTTTCCTGCTTTCATGAATTTCCTCTTTAGGACACTAGGACCATGCTTAATAAATGACTATATTTTGTGGCCTCCTCGATGCTAGAAGTCATTTACAATTTGTCACTCCTTTACACTGGAGAAATTAGACAAAATCCAACTCCACTTCTCATTTTAATATTATTCTGAAATAGCATTGTCAAGAAATGAGGTTTTAGGGATTTGACCAGATATAATGCATAAAGTATTTTACCTAAACAAGATAGTTTTGATAGGATTATTGAAAGATTCACAAGAAAAGCTAAACATGCAAAGAGTAATACAACTCTGACTTGGCATTCAGCTTCTGTCTCTTTCCTCTTGATTTTATCTTAATAAGAGAGGGGAAAGCCTCCCATAGCCCAAATCACTGTCACCAGCTTTACACGATGGCATTCAATGACAATATTTGCACGACCTAATGCTGATTGCATTAATTAAACTCCTGAGTTGCTTTGATTAAATCTCCTCATTGCATCTTACTCTCAATCAAATATGTAAATGCACACCTTTTCAATGTTCATTAATGCAAGAAAAAGCCAAACGTTTAGGAAGATGAAATGGAAGCTATGGATATTCTTGTTTTCCTCTGTCCTTAAAAGCTACTGAAGGTATTTAATAAATGGGCTGCTTATTAAATATCCTTTGTCACATTTCCTATCAGAAAATTTGGAAAGCGTTGCTCAAGGGTAACATCAACAGCCTGCCTATCCTGCTGTGTGACATAGAGTGGTTGAACTGCATGGTTAGAAAAGTGACGTGTATTTGTGCTTCTTTTGACTTTTTAGCTTTTGGTGTAATGATGAACTTCCTTTGGCTTTGAAAAATATTTTTTTTATTTTCTTCAACTATGGATTTTATGTGAAACTACAAAAATATTTTTAAACTCAACCATGCTTACATCAAAGAAGAAATCCCCATGACAATCAAGGATGGGGATTAGCAAACTTCTTCTGTAAAAAATCAGAAAGTAAATACTTAAGACTTTGAGAGCCAGACAGCCTCTATTACAATTACTCTGATTTTGTTGGCATAAAAGCAACCATAAGAAACAAAAGGGTGTGGCTGTTGTGTTCCACTAGATCTTTATTTACAAAAACAGGCTACGACCAAATTTGCCCCACAGACTAAAGTTTACCAATCCAAGATCAAAGGCACAAAATTTTCAAATGGACAGTGTTCAAATGCTCGTAAGGACATGAGCGTTGCTCCACCAAGAAAGGGTCTGATCTTTCAAGACACTTGAGGCCCTGTCTGGAAATGTGCCCTATGCCAGCTAGGTCTGGTTCTGGTGAGGATTCTATTTGAGTTAAAGACTGCTGACTTCTCCTTGTATCTCACATGTTGGAAAGTTCACAGGGGCCCCTTTTATAATGCCAGTAATCTCACTACAATGGAGGTTGGAGTTTCAACATAGAAATTCAGGGTGGAGGTAGCACAAAAACACTCAGTCCATTGCACACTCAGCATGTCATCATAGCCCAAGCTTCCTTTACCAAAACTATAACATTTTACCATCCATAAATTTACTGATATTTTTAGGAAAAGTGACTTAGATGAAATGGTCAAACAAAATAAATAGAACCAAATTCTTTCCACAATTGTCTTCAGTTGGAGTCAGAACCCCTAGCTTTTGCACATAAGGATGAGGTCACTGAGGACCTTGACTCACATTGTTTTCTGGGGATACTAGTTTTGTTTCTCTACATTTTCTGGAATGAATTTTCCCAATAATGCCTACGAATTTTGAGTTTTTTCTAAACATGTTTATTTTTCTCTCTCGCCTCATACCTCACTCTCATCCCATTATATGGATAGCATTATTGAAAGCTTCAGTTTTGGGAAATTGTTTCTAGATGAGGGGCAATGGTGATCTGTTTCAGGAACTCAGTGTGACTCTGTTTTGGTGCTATCTGATCTGCTCCCCTTATGGTTAATGAAATCCCAGTGGTTTACCATTGGTACTATCAGTCCACAGGCTTCAAGCTCACAGAGAGCTAATAGCAATCTTACTCCTTTGATATGTGAGGATAAGATGTGTACACACAGGGCAGAGTATATTTCTGCTAGACTAAGGAATATTTTTATGGATCATTATGATGATATGCATCATTCAAAAATATACGTTTTTCATTAAGAGACAGGGGATAACTCAGTAGTCATTCCTAGTTGACCCTATGTTAAGAGTATTCAGTAGAACAAATTTTGTATGGTCACAGAAGGGTTACAAGACAAGTAAGGAATACATGATGAAATAGCTAATATTCTGTTTTTGGAAGGTCAGTTTACCATTTCCTTTTCTTTTTCTTTCCCCCTTTCCTTAGTTGCTGATGCCAAGAGAATTTACAGGAAGGGGAGTATATTTGCAATCCTCTTTTTCTAGTTGTAAAGGCCTAGTTTGAGAATATTAGCAATGTCAGTAAAGATCAAGGGTGGCGTGCACGCCATGAGCATACAGCTCTCTCCAAAGCTAGGCCAACACAAATGCAGAAGAGATGGTCTCTTCCCAGCTTCCAAATGATACCTGGGAGGAAATGAGGACATAGTGTGTGATGTGGACCTGTGGATGCTGAAATTCTACCTATGCCACAGCAGTAAACCCTTAGCCTCTCGTCAGCTGCAACGGGGAGCTGAGAGCATATAAAATGTGTCCACTCTGAGAACATAATTCTGCTTCTCCCAAACTCTGCCTCAAAAGGTAACTTCCACATGCTCTACTGGTGACTGCAACAGGGTGCAGAACTGCTTTACCTTCTATCTGAAATCATGTTCCTGAGGAACTTGGTTAAGAAGTTAGATCATCTTTTCATTCTATGGCTTTTCATTCTGCTTTTCATTCTATGGCTACATAAGCAAGTCGTAAGAAGAAGCTCACTTATCAGGGATAGCAGGTAGCCCAGATCTTACTTCTGACTACGTATGTAAGAATCTGGAATCTACCATAAGCCTGGCATTTTAAAAAACTGATATATAAGGTAACCTTGGTCTCTAAATTAGCAATGTAATGTTAAATCCTGAGCTTTGCATAAAAAAAAAAAAAAACCCGTCCCATGATTTCAAGCTCAGGGCCAGCTTTCCACATTAAAGCTAGCACAGACTCGAGATTATAAAAACTTTACTGCAGTATAGCCAGAGGTAAAACAAAAGTGTCACATGGACAGTATTGGGAACGAAGCATACACTTGTATCTGATACCTTTGTGATATAATTGGATTGAACAGTGTATGTATACAAAAATAAGAGTAATTATATAGTTTAATAAGAGTATTAGGAGATACAGTGACAATCTCTGTGTACAAATGCTAATGCAAATAGAATAGTGTCAAGATAATTCAATTTTTAAAAAGATAATTCAACTTAAGGAAACAATCTGTAGGGTAAGCAAAGCATTAGAAAGCACCAGGAAAAGTGAAACTTGAAAAATTTTCAATTTGCCATGAAATAATAATATAGAATGTAGGTAATCAAATCACTTGTGCTAAGAATATAATAAAGATTAAATGATTTAAACGTAGCTTTTAAAAATTAAAGATATATGTATGTATAGAATTTGAATATTTCCAATTCCTAATCTGATACCCAGATAGTCAATAGTAGGGAAACAAATTTTGGTTCAAGGAAATATGTCATTTATTGAAAGCAGGAAATATCCCTGTAGAAAGAAGGCAGTGGAAAAGAAAACTGAATATGTACTTAAGCATTTTTGTCAATATTTACTTCCCTTTTAATAATTCATTAAATCTAAAAGCAAAAATAAAGGCAAAGAAAGACTAAAGAACAATATAACTAGCCTCTTGTGGCTTGGGATATTGTGAGACAATAAATATACCTGTAAATAAACAGAAATGATGCATAGGAATAGATAACTCACATGTGTCAAATTTTTTACCCTACATTGAAAACAATAGTGAATTGGAAGCATGAGGCAGCCACAGCTCCAGATATCTATTTTTTGGTTATCTGCTTCTCTTCATCCTTACATATCCTTTTCTATTCTTAATGATTTCTCAGAGTGGCTTTTTATTTTAGAATTGTGTATATTATTGTAAATAAAATGTGGATATATTTCAATTACTATATATTAAAAAGTATAAATACTTAACACCAAAATCTCTATAAAGGTCTTATTTCATATATTTGCTATAACTGTGGTATAAAATATTTTCCTCTAAGTTTTACACTTACTTTTGCTTAAAAACAACAGAATTACTTTACTTTAAGGTCACCTTTTAGACATTTAATGATTCTACTGAAATAAGATAGACTCCAAGCTCTTTTTAAAGTTCTAATATCTATTTCATCATTTCTACATATAATACTCAAAATAGAAATCGAGAAAACACTATGAATATATTGAGATACTTTTCTTAAAGGTCATTGTTTTCCTATTGTATGATACTAATGTAATAGTCTCTAGAGTCTTTCAATATGCATCTTTAACTCAAGGGAGGTTTGCAAGGATGTCCTAATGGCAATTTTGCTGCCTGATGCTCTCTGGTTTCTCATGGTCTCTTCTGCTCTAAGATTAATTCTTGAGGAAGGGGAGGTTCACTGGCCTCCCAATGGCCCAAGAGACTTTTCATCTGTCATTTCCACTCATCATTATCTCCCATACTTAGAGTTTCTCTATCTCCATAATGGGCTGAGGGGTAGGATCTTCTTCTGTTCTATTCTACACCCTGTTCAAACAAGCGTACAGGCTCCTCACAAATACTTTTGTTAAAGATAACTGGGATACTCCAGGGAAAGAAAAGACAATAAGTGTCAAACACTGGAGAAGCTGCATTCCTCCTCAGGAAACCTTAAGAAAATCTCACACTTGATGTACCTAATGTATACTTATATGTAAATTGGATTGTTCTATGCTTAATAGCCCCTTCTTTGATTCTCACAATTTTCTTTTTTCTTTTTTTTTTTTTTATTTTTTGGACAGGCAGAGTTAGACAGTGAGAGAGACAGAGAGAAAGGTCTTCCTTTTTCCATTGGTTCACCCCCCAAGTGGCCGCTATAGCCAATGCGTTGCTGCCGGTGCACTGCGCTGATTGGAAGCCAGGAGCCAGGTGCTTCTCCTGGTCTGCCACAAGGTGCAGGGCCCACGCACTTGGGCCATCCTCCACTGCACTCCCGGGCACAGCAGAGAGCTGGCCTGGAAGAGGAGCAACCAGGACAGAATCTGGCGCCCCGACCTGGACTAGAACCCAGGGCAGGCAGAGGATTAGCCTAGTGAGCCGCAGCACTGGCCAATTCTCATTCTTTATTCACACAACACTTCAAAGTTTCCAGTAACTCCAGTTCCCAATGAGACACTGTAATGATAATAATCTCTTTCTAGTTACAACCCTCTGGTCACTTTGGACAATTCCTAATCTGTGTGATTGGAAATTCTGAGGTTTTACCGTTCCCTGGGCCCATTCCCTGGGGGGTCCAGTGAGCACAGAGGATGGGATGAAAGTAAGACTAGACCCCAAATGGCACCCTCTTGAGTCTGAGAATTTGCTATGCAGATCTGGTATAATCCCAAGCAAGTTTTTCCACGGAGAAGTTTATGCAATGGAAAAGCTCATTATATTCTTTTAATAGCCTAGCCTTTCCTGATGATCTGGGTTTCCATGATTAATTAGTAGTTCGTAACTATTTGATTATTAGCCTTGTTTTTTCCAACACTGAATACTTTTACCAGAACTTCTAGCTCCAAAATATTCTATGAGCCTGATCATCATTCTGACTGCTCGTACAGTCGCAGGAATTTGAATAGTTTAGTAAATTGGTAAAAGGGATTCATTGAAGCTCTTTTCCATACATCCGAATCTTTACAACTTAGCTATTCTTTTCCTTTTGGTCCTGAGAGAATTAACTCTAGCTGGCCATCCTGAGATCATCTTCACAGCACCTGGTAGAGTGGCCAACCATCCTTGTTTGTCTGGGGTTGAGGAGAATCTCAGGCAAGCCAGGACAAATCATTATAGTGAGATAAACAATACCAAAATCCAGGTGCCAAATATGCGGACATGAAGAAAATGAGGATAAAAAGTTAAAAAGAGAATAAGAGTAAATGAGTAGATATCATTGCAAGTAACAACAATTATCAAGAACTATTGACTCGGAAGCCATAGTCTCACCTGACTAAAGAACATGGCTGAAACCTCAGAGTCCAGATTATCAAATGAAGCAACACACTCTGTGAACCTAAAGACCTTTGAATAGAGGTATCTAGGAGAGCAGTCATTAACCCAGACTGATTAACTAGCCCAGAAGGAAACTCCCAGAACAAGTGGGAATGCCTGAGTTGTACCTGAGGCTTCTACAAGGGAGAACACCTTTGTCAGAAAGTGTTCAGCTTGAGAATACATGAAAAAAATGTTTGGCGGAAGCATGAATATGGCTAGTATAGATACAACGCATTCAGAGGAATGATGAAATATTTAAGAATTTCAAAAGTAAGTAGCTATGAGGGAATTATTTTGTCAATGTGAAAAATGTTAAGGTTTTTGCTGATGGATACAAAAAATATTGCCCTATCATTTCACCATTTCATAAGATTTTCACTACCAAAATTGCAGAGTGGGTTTCCTTCTGCCCCCAGCATCTAAGCAGAAAGACACTAAAGATCATTTCAAACCCGATTTGGAAAATGAATCCGTTTTATTTAACACTAAGGCCATCACAGCTGACTTGTGTACTCATTGTTACCTTTTCCATAGCAAAAGAAGGTGGGGTTGGTATGACTTCCTCCCAGATGAGTAGTTTAAACAAAAGGTTCCAACTGGTGCTCTGGTTTGCTTACGTTTTTTTGTTTCTTTCCTCCCTCTGTCTGCACTCCTAACAGGAGTGGTTTATTTTGACGGATATTTATACAGCCTGGTTTACCCAGACCCCAGTGCTATCTGTATTCAATAAGAGAAAAGGGCGAGAGGGAAATGCAGATGGACTGCTTAGGCCAAGGTGGGCAGTAAGTGACTCTTGTGGGTGACTTTTCCGTAGGACTATCGAGTGAACATTTTTCTGAGACAACAATGGAATGATTCACGGCTGGCATACAGTGAGTACCCAGATGACTCCCTGGACTTGGACCCATCTATGCTAGACTCCATTTGGAAACCAGATTTGTTCTTTGCCAATGAGAAGGGTGCCAACTTCCATGATGTCACCACTGACAACAAATTGCTACGGATTTCAAAAAATGGCAAAGTGCTGTACAGTATCAGGTAAGTCTCCATTGGCTGTGTCTGTTCACTTCACCATATCTCTGTTGGCCAAAAGCTGCCTGATTCTGTAGGGCAGAATCATATGAACACTTGACTTTTGTGGTTTTTTATTTATCATTTGAATCTGTTGGTGGACAGTGCCAGAAATTCCCACGATTTCATAAGCCTGAGTCTCCACAATAAAAATGTCTGATAGAATAGTAGGCAGGTGATGATAGTGCATAAATGCCTCCACAAATGTGTTTTTGGTGGCTTCAATAGAGAAAGTAAGGCTTTTTAGTTCCATCATCACTGAATATAATGTAAAAATTTCCATTTTTTCTCATTCCCACACTTCTGCCATTCTGTAACTAACTACACATAAAAAAAAAAATCAATTGTTCAGCATGGTCACTGACAGCATACACACCGTGGGCTAGGTGAGTAGAGACCTGGTTCTAATCTAATCTCAGCTGTGCTTCTAACTAAACATACAACTTTGACCTTTTAATTTGGCTTGGGCTTGGGAAAAATAATTCCTGAAGTCCATTTTTGCTTTTATATTTACATGGTCTTCTCCAAAATCTTTACCACAACAGGCTCAAAATAGTCTCCCTTTTCTGAACTCTAATGTCAGTTTCTCTGTGACTCTGTAAGGCTCTTACTTTTTCCTGCCTTATATTTTTGGCTATGTCTGTATGTGAGTATAGCATAAGAACATGGATTTTTGGAATAATATAAAATCAAACCTAAATTTGGTCACTAAGTTACATAACCTGTAATGCTGAGTTACCTTCGCTGAAAATGAGAAACACCAGATTTATCTCCGAGTATTCTTGTGAGAATGAGTGATGGAGATGTCAGAAAGTATTTTCTGGAAATAATCAACAATGGGTATTGGAAATTTTGCTGGCCGAACTGCCTCTACGGCATCTACTCCACTCTGTCCTTTTAGCTCAAAATCAACTATAGATAATAAGCAAACAATTGAGTGTGGCTATATTTCAGTAAAATTTTATTTACAAAAACAGGTAGCAGAAAAATATAGTCTAGTAGCTGTAATTGTCCACCATAAATAAATACAATAATTGTTGATAAAAATAAAAAGAAACTAGCATTAAAAAGCTTTCAAAAAATCAGCACTTTTAAAATAGTAAACTCTTCGAGGCCAAGATACTTGGTTTTGCCTCTTTTGTAACATTTTCTAAAGGGCTAACAGTATACCGTATATGAGAGGCACTTAATTTATTGAGTGACTATTAACATTTTAAAGGTCTTTTGCATTATCTCCCCTTTTCTCAATTTTATTACAAAGAAAATCCTTGCAAATAATTTTCACACATTTGTAGACTCGTCAACATCACAACCTCATTTAACAACTCTAAAATTTGTGTGTATGCATCTCTGAGTTGTCGCTCCCCCTCTTCATGGAGGAACGACACTGAACCCTGCGTTGTTCTTTCGTCTGCTCGGCCCTCCCCGGGTTTGCTGCTGGTTCTTCCCGGGTTGGCTACTGTCCCTTCCACCTCCGTGGAAGGGCGGTTCCCCCTGGCCACATTCCCCACTTCTGCGGGGGAGCGGCACACCGCCGGCCGGCTCTCTCGGGGGCTGCACAGGTGTTCCTTCAGCTAGATGTTCCTCTTAGATGTTCCCCTTAGATGTTCCTGGTGCATGCCGTCTCTCTCCTCCTTTATATTCCTCCTCCGCCAATCCTAACTCGGCTGCCCACATGCTGAGTACACTGCTCTCCAATCAGGAGCAAGTCCTACAGTTTATTGACTGAACTGGAGGCAGCTGTGTAGAAGCTGTTTTCTTCTCCCCCAGCGCCATATTGTGGGAGAGCAGATGCATAGAATAAGTCTTAATTCCAGTAACAGTCTAGTCCGAGTTGCTCCCCACACTGAGTATATCTATATATGCATTTGTTTACATCACTCTTATATCTGAATAATTTCTCAATGTGCTAATGGCCAACAGCTCCAATGTCTTGTGAAATGCAAGAGGTTGCTCGTTTGTAAAAGGTGGCAAAGTCATTGTCTACAAAAAGAACCAGGGGACTTTTCCTAATGCTACTTCATTTTTAAGGAAACATGGAACATTCCGCATGGTGCAGCATTTGTTTGGTACAAGATGCAGAATTGAGCATGACCTAAGTTGATGTGACCTGATGAAATGGGACATATGTAGAGCATGGTGCTGGGAAGGAGTTATAAAAAGCAGCACAGGGTATCAGCTGCTTCAGCGAATCCTCTGGGCCTTGGGTGGCGTTTGCTCTGGTAAATACCCAGCCATCAAGCACTGGTGAAAGAAAAGCAGGTTGTTGTTATGGTTTTCCTTCTATTCTACGATGGGCTTCTCATTCCCCAACTGTGAAGGATAGAACACTCCTCTGACCTAGATCCAGAGGCATTTCTTATAACTCTGGCTCCTGGGGATAGCATATTACAGGCTCTGGAATGTCTTAACAATTGTTTTTGATTGGACAGGGTTTGTCCTACAGCAGGCTGATTTAGACTATTCCTTCATTGTGGGCATTTGCTGAAATCAGAGGAAAAATCCTTGGGGAAGAAGAAGTGGAGATGTCACTTTAAGAAAACACACATTCTTGGCAGATTTCAACTGCAGGAATCTAATTATTGGCCTGGAAGGGTTTTCAATGAGCCAGTCACTGTGCTGAGCCTAAAGATCCAGAGCTGAATAACATGTGGCCCCTGCCCTGGAAGGGTTCCAGTCTAATTAGGCAAGTGGATGCATGATAAATTAAATAACTGGACTAAGTAGGAAACAAGGAAATGGAAGTGGCTCTAATTCTGCAAATGAATTGTGTGACACAAGTATTGTTAGAATTTAGGATTCACTCCCATACTCCTGTTTGAGTTACAGGACTGTTTAACTAGAGGCCAAGGAATAACTAGAGCTAATATTTGCTGGATTCAATATATGCAATATAATAAATTAATGTAAATGTGAGGACATAATGGGCTCGTGGTGGACAAGATTAAAGAAAAAAGGAGAAGCCGGCACCCCGGCTCAATAGGTTAATCCTCCACCTTGCGGCGCCAGCACACCAGGTTCTAGTCCCGGTCAGGGCACCGGATTCTGTCCCGGTTGCCCCCCTTCCAGGCCAGCTCTCTGCTGTGGCCAGGGAGTGCAGTGGAGGATGGCCCAAGTCCGTGGGCCCTGCACCCCCTGGGAGACCAGGAGAAGCACCTGGCTCCTGCCATCGGATCAGCGCGGTGTGCCGGCCGCGGCGGCCATTGGAGGGTGAACCAACGGCAAAGGAAGACCTTTCTCTCTGTCTCTCTCACTGTCCACTCTGCCTGTCAAAAAAAAAAAAAAGGAGAAGGTGAGCATTACTGGAGAAAAGCATCTTGTCCATGTTACTTCTTGCTGATATTTGTTTGCTTCATTTAAATCCTATTGCTTCTGAAAATTTTGTGGGAATTCTGACTTTATAAAAATATAAGATTTTTCTTTAAAATTTGAAGTCTCTTTGAAAATATCTAGTCCAACACCCTTGTCCTACTGATGAAATGGCTTCCTTTAGAAGTTAGGTGAGTCAAATAATTAGGAAAGGTAGGACAAGGATCAAAATTTTGGACTTCTGTTTCAATGCTATTGTCTTGTACCCCATATAACCTCTTCATTTATCCCAACTTAGGTCAAATACATAAATAAATACAATTCCAAAGATGTATCATTTTGGAAGCAACCTTTTTAGGAGGGTGTTTAGGAGCATAAGATATAAAGATGAAAAGGTGGAGTGTCTTAAATTTTATAAATATCTGACAAAGCTGTTTAAATTCAAAATGAAATAATTTTCTATCCAATAGGGAGATCTCATTTATAATTTCATATAGCCTGTGTACCTTACAGAGCATATCTACTTCTTGTAAATTTTTGCTATCCCAGGGATCAAAGGGCTGAAGAGATTCTAAAATCATTAGGTTAACCTCCTGCCTTTAGGCAGCCTGCTGAGAACTCATTCTATTTTTTATTTTTATTTTCAATTGATATATAATAATTGAAAAGACCTTCAGAAGAGATTTTGAATTCTGTCTTTAGATTTTATAAGGATAACAAGTTCCAGTGACATTGCAAAGAAATGATTTTTATATGACTTAAATTACATGTGCCGAAGCTTGAATCAGTGGCTTTTGCTTCCATCTGTTAATATGATAAAAAAAATTCCCACAATTTTTTGAAAGACAGAAGGCTTACCTTACTACTTCTTGCTTTAAACACTTCTGCCCCACCAGAATTAGTGTTTGTTTACAGTTTGGGGCACCTACTCTGAACCCTGTGTGTTGAACACTATCCTTGTTACTTCTGATACTATAGGAGATACAGGCTTTAGAGTTAAACACCGTTGGGAATGAGTCTCTGGCTCCAATGCTGGCTGTATGATTTACAGGAATTTGCTATTTTTTGGGACCTCTATGCTCAACTTTGAAAAATAGATAATTTAGTTATGAGCATTAGTAGAAAACAGTGTGTTATATGCCTAGACACTCAAGATGTCATTGCCATACGTTCTAGGGCTCTTAATATTGTCTTGAAATCTAAGCATCGTGCATTATGTTCTAGCCTCTAAAATTAAGTAAACTGACAAAAATAGATCCCTACAAACTCAAAACCTAAAGGACACAACTGATACACGCACTCTTTGGGTATGATCCTATATTTAGTAGCAGTTCTTAACCTGAAGACTAGGTGAAAATCCAAGGGTTCTTTGAACCTCTCAAAAAGTGCCTGGGTATCTTGTATGCCAGGATATTTAAGCTCTTTTATGCTTTGCTTGTTTAGAAAAAAAAAAAGGTCCTTATCTTTACTAAAGTGGCTATGACCCTCCAAATGTTAGCAACTTACTCCTAGATTTAGTGCATACTCCCATGTGAAGTTATTAAGGAACTATTGTTCGCCTCCAGTGTCTTATTTGACTGACCATGTGCCTGGGGGACTCAACGTCCTCCAACTACAGAGAACACCCCAAATCACCAATAACTGTGGCATTGTTGCTC